GGGCATGCGCCTTCTTTCCCCGGCTCGCGGCGAGACCGGAATACGTCAGAGGGGGCGGGGACGGCGCGCGCCGGAAGCGGCATTACGAAGCCAACGGTGTGTATCCTCAGCTGGGCGGAAGGATTGGGAGCTCCCGGAAGTGGAAGTGCGTGTGGGGTGCACTGGGCTTGTTTGGTTTCTTCTTTTTCTTCTTCTTTCTCGCTGGGTGATGCCGCTGTCCTGGTGCCGAGCGAGCCGCTCCGGTCGGGTAGGGTCAGCATCTGTCGCCGGAGAGTAGCTGGGCGGCTGCCTCGTGAGAGGGGCTGCCTTTGCTAAGTGTGGTGGCGGCGGCGCGTTGCTAAGGGCCGGGTCGGAGGACGAAGTGGGGGGAGGCCGTTACGGCGGAGGTTGCCTTCGCCTCGGTCTGCGGAGGGGCAGCCCGGGATGCGATTTCTTTCGGCTTTCAGGCATCACTGGTGCTTGGTCTCTGCTTGGTCAGTGTCTGCTTCGGTAGCTTCCATGGTGGGAGTCCCACCTTGGTGCTGGTAGTCATGAGGAATTGGCCCGGCGAGGGAGGAGGAGGAGGACGTGGTTTGACTGGCTGTTTAGTTTCTCTGGTGGGTAACCTGGCACGGCAGGAGACCAAAGGAGCGGGTATAACTACCATCGTCAAGACAGGAAACCGTGTAGAGGGGTAAGAGGGAAACAGAAGAAGGGTTGCCCATAATTTTGCTTGTAGTTTATGGCGAAGACATTATAAGCTGCTTGGAAGTAGTTAGGAGTTTGGTTTTTTGTTTTCCTTTCCTCTTTTTTTCCTATTACTCAGGGTTCAAATCTGTTATGAAGAATGAAATTTTGCCTTTTTTGCTTTTCAGTTGTCGCTGAAGTTCATGTGTGACATTTGTTTCATAGGTAACAGATGAAAGTTATCAGCTGCTGCTTTGCCTTGAGGTGGTTGATCTAAAAAGAGTCAAAGAGTAAGGCATCTGCATGTGGTGTTTGGGGCATTTTTAATTCAGTCTGCAGCTCTTTGACATGCATTTCAGATTTGTAATCTATGCAGATTTGTAGGACTTCTCAGGAGGGAGGAATATCCCTCCTAAGAAAGAATTTAGCAGGGGGGAAATATGCAGGAGAAATACTGTTGTTCATTTCTGCCTTCTCGTTATCCTCTTTCCTAGCTCCCATTCTCACAGTTCCTCAGAGAGGGGACACAGGGGCAGAAAGACTTTTGATCAAAGGAGGTCTTACTGCTCTCATGTTTTTATTCATCTATTTTTTTTCTATCTCTCTTAGCCATAACAGCACCTAAGTGTGAATTATGAACATCTGTGTTGTAGTGCCTGCCTTTATTGCTTGTCATTTTGAGTTGGTCTTTTTTTCCTTTCTTTTTTTTTATCTTTTTTTTTTTCCTAGCTACTGAATCTCTTTTATTATTTATGTTCTGGAATATGGATATTATTTTGTGAAAAGTTGTCATTGGTGATGAAGCTGAAAGAAAAAAGGATGAAATAAATTGGTATGTTTGTGGCAAACTGAAATTACACTGGTACCTGAAACTAGGGTACTTCTACTAGTTTAGTTCATTAATGGCTTGCTTCATTCACTTCCATGATGCATGAAAATGTAGCAGCTCAAAAGTTAGTAGTGTAAGCAGTTGAATTACATTTCAGGGAGTTTAAACACTTTAGCAAGCAACCTTGTTCCAGCCTTCTGAAAAAATAGTCAGGTAGGTGGCAGACGGCAGTGTGCTTCGTTGCTGTTCATTAGCTGGTGTTCAAATTTACATTTTTGTTCTCCACTTTGCAAAAGCTATTTGGGAGAAGGGTTTCTGTGCTGAAGTGCAGGACTGTAAGCACGGAGGAGTGTAGCTATAATCTGTAGGTCTGCAGAATTCATTGAACTTCAAGGGTTGTGAGATTTGGCGGGTGTGCACGTTTTGGGGGGTTTGGTTTTTGGGGTTTTTTTTATCTTTTTTTTTTCTTTGTTTAGTTGGTTTAACATGTCCCAGGATGAGATCAAAAAATATCCAAAGGAATAGATTATGTACACCCTGCTGCAAATTTGCTGCTACTTTAAATAAAGAAATAAAATTCAAAGTGTCAAAAGGGCTTAGTTATCTTGACAGTTATTATGTTCAGCATTTTCAACTCAGAGATCACAAACCTGCTTGACCAATTTAATGATAAGGAAAGTGTTTTCAAGTGTTTCCATCTTACACAGCTAGAAAAAGCTTGTCTTGCTGCAGGCATTTTGGAAGCATTGCATTATCTTTTTGCATATGATGACTATGTGTGTGTGTATGAGAGGGGGGAGGAGGCAGGAGGATGAGCTGGAAGTTGATCTCCTTTCCTGTCTTCTGTTATCTGTAATTGCACTGCAGCCTTGGGAAAGGTCTTGCTCTGGGGAATTGCTCTTAGTAAACACATGGTGATCCTGCTTTATTTTCTTTCCCTTAAAGCACCTGGAAGACTCCAGTGAGAATTGGGGTGTGACAAGCTAGCAGGAAGAAAAAAAAAGTTGTACTTTCCATTCCATGGATCCCTTGGGTGCTCCTTCCCAATTTGTGGATGTTGATAGTTTGCCAAGTTGGACTGATATCTATGAGGCTAAGCAGCTGAACTCTCACCAAAACTCTGCTGGAAGAGCTCAAGTCAATGTTAGATCACCTTTTCCATACAGGAGAGACATCAATGCAAAAATAATCTTATGGTAAGTTTCATGTGACTGTCATCACTTTATTCTTTAATGTAGGATTTTGCTGCCAATGATCATTGCTATAGAATAAAGCCTTTAAACTCTTTTTCTTGAAACAAACACTTCAGGTCTGGGGAGAAAGTAATTGCTTATTCACTGTAAACCTGCAAGCCTGAGATTTATATAGATTGTAAATTACATGTTCGTCAGCATTCTTTCATACAGCAAATGAGCAATGCTTCTTGCCGTTTGTCATATTGGATATTTAATAGAAAACCTGATCACTCATTTCTATACAACACATTTTTTAAAATATACTTGTTGTCTAGGAGCTTTTTTGATATATTTGCTTTGCTGGCTTTATTCTTTTGACTCTACTGCTTTAGCTTCTTTTCTCTTTTAGATCAGTATTTCTTTCATGTGTTTCTTGTGGCTTGTTTGGGAGATTTTTTTCTTCCCTCCTTTGTCTGCATTCCCTGTGTTCTGTCTCTCTTTTTCTACCAAAATCTGTTGACAAGCACAACTTTCTCCATTATTTCTTCCTTCTTGTTTTTAGTTTCTTTTACTTGCTCTCTGAAAGAGTAACACTGACAATCAATATGAAGAGAAAAGGATTTTGTACTGATACAGATTCAGGGAACTACCCTCTTTCCTGGTTTATGCACGCAGTAAATTAGAACTGTTCAGGCATCTCCTGAAACTACTTAAGTAAAGAAATAAAGAAAGAAAATTTAGGCAACTCCTATCACTTGGGCTTGTATATACTAAATATCTGCAATTAATAGATCAGAGTTCTGCTATTCCCTCTTCTTTCATGCATCTCCACTTTGTGTATCTTCTGCTTCTTTGATCCCTTAGCACCAGAATGCACAAATTGCAACATATAAGTGCAATATATGCATATGATATGACATGCATGTGAAATTTATATGCATATAAATGCATGCACAATATTTATATAATTACAACATAAATAATAGTTTATTGCAACATATATAAGCAAATAATAGAAAAAGAATAAACAAATTGTGCGTTCAGCTGCGTTGTCACTCTAGGTGCTCAGTAGCCCAAGGACAAGCAGCAGCAAGGTGCCATTATCTAAATGCCTCTGCAAACAGAGGAGATCACATTGAGTAATTTACATGTTCAATTTTCAAAAACTATCCTCTTAGAGATAAGGGATAAAATTTGATTTGGGTAACGTGTTATACTCCCAAAATATTACATGCCACTGTTTATGTTCTGTTAACAAAACTATGCTGTGTAAGACATGGCCCTTTCTGTGGGCAACGTTAAGTTACTGTGAGTCTGGGAAGTTTTAAGGAAATGAGACATTACATGCTGCCTTTCTATATTACTTGGATGCAAAGCATGGTTCTGCATGGTGAGCAGGTCAGTGAACGCTATGGTTTATGGGCACTGGAGTGCTATTAATGGTCTTTCTTTAACTTAGCATTCTTTTGCTTGATAGTGTTTCTGTTGAAGGTACCTTGCTTAGTTTGACAAGCAGTCTCCAGTAAACTGCTTCCTTGTTTCCTCAGGAAAGGAGATGTAGCACTACTGAACTGCACAGCCGTAGTAAATACTAGTAATGAGTCTCTCACAGATAAGAATCCAGTATCTGAAAGTGTCTTTATGCATGCTGGGCCTGACCTGAGGGACGAACTCCAGAAGCTCAAAGGTAAATGGTAGAGACTTCTTGTTGTGTTGAAAAGCTACTATCCTTTCTTTGTACAAAGCAACTGCATTTGGTCACGCACTGAAATAAAGGTGTAACTTTTCCTTTTCTAGTGTCTATTATTAATGCAAAAGAAAGAGTGGAACTTTTGGCTAGACTTTGCTGTACATTTCCCCTGGCAGATATTTGGATAGTTGAGCCTTCATTTTGTGTGTGCGATACAGTAATTACCATTGTTATCTGAAGTTAGTCAAAGTAGTTGACTAGCTAGTCAAAGTAACTTATCAAAGCTTTTATTGTGTGAACCAGTCTTATACAGCTTCAGAGTTTACTTCTGTGTTCTGTTCTGTGCATATCCTTTGGCAAGTGGGAGACAGGAACTAAAGTTCACTGTTATAGAAATTAAGTGGGTTCTAATATGTGCCCTGTACATCTTTTCTCAATCTATTAATATGCAGCCCCATAAACAATGGCTACAGCAGATGGATTGGTAAAAACCTGCATGTCTAAGTAAAGTATTAGTGACCTCTTAAATTGTTCAGTTTACCTGTATGTGATTTACGGATGTTTTTACTGCAATGGCACAAGAGCAGCCGTAATGGGAAGACTATTCTGAGCAAAGAGACTGATATGAAATTTGCTTTACATTTTTTTTGTCAACAGAGTTTATGGCTGGTAGCAAGAGTTACCTTTCTTTTCAGTGTCTGTTATACCAAATAAGGCAACATTTCATCTATGAGGAACTAAAAGCTTATAGTTATCCAAGGTCATACAGAAGTCTGATAGTCTGCAGTTAAGTTCAGAGCTCTAGTAGCTATGGTATTTAACTGAATTTCAAGGTCAAACTGATCCTTGATTAGCACTTATGACTCCTGAGTAACATCTCTATCTCCTCGTCATGTAGTAACAAAGTGGATAGAAGGGCTGTAATGTTCTTAACACAAGTTATCAGTCAGTAGCTTACACTGCAGCAAGATGGACATCCTTGTGTTTTGTAAAACTTTTATTGATTGATTCCGTTTACTTTTTTCGAGTAACCTGGAAGTACAGCAGGGGGAAGAATAAAGTTGCAAAAGGGAAGAGAAAGTTCTATGTGCATCCTTTGGACAGAAAGAACAGTTAAAGTACATCAGGTGGTGTAGACTAGCTGGTTCCAGCCTAGCAGAACCTAACCTCACCATTCACTCTTCTAAAATAAACTTGTGATCTGTTAGCTCTGTAGAGTTCTTTGTAAAAGTTGGGCTGAGCTGCATAAACTTCCATGCTGTTTCACAGCCTCTATCCTAACTGACACTGATGACTTCCTCCATGTAATGTATTTAGTAGGTGAGTACAGGATAGTTTCCTTTTAGTCCAGATGCTGAGTCCTTTCAGAAAGCAATTCTTTTGGATTGCTTTACTGGCATATTGTGTGGGGAAAGTAGGAGAAGTCTGTGTTATGGTTATGCCTTTTCTGCACTCTTAATGAGTAGGTCACAGAAATGGAAGGGAGCTAAGATAAAGAACTAGTCTTTAATTCTTCTGTCATTTCTACTTCATTTTTGCACTCTTTTTCCACTTTTTGAACTTTCTTTCTGCATAGGAGAATGTTTGGGAAATCATGAAAGCAGAATGACATTGTCCAAAAGCAGTCAAATGGGTGCAGTGGTAACTCTTTTTATTCTCTCCTGGTGTGTTGTGGGAGATGTTTGTTTGTTTGTTTTAATTGGTTGAAAGCTAATCCAAAGAAAAGATTAGTTTGGCTCAGCAGGCTCAATTTGGCTCAGCAGGCTAAAATGTCTCTCTGCAAAACAGTACAATTGGAATGGTGAGGATGGATACGTGTTAGAGGGTAGGGAGAAAGAGGGGAAGTAATTCTTTAGCAGCTGTCTGGAATCGGAGTGAATTAAATTTCACATTGTGGGTGAGAGGGGAAGAGTTCACAAACCTTTTGAGATGCCTTCCTTATAATATATGCAGTTGAAGGAAAAAAAAACTTTATTAAAACAGTAGTTTTTTCAGTTTTTTCATTATCAGAAATTTGTTGATGAGTTGGAGGTAATTGAGAGATCTATGAATGTCTTTGGTGGTTTTGACAAAATGGTCTCTAGCACAACAACTAAATAAGAATAACATGCAAGGGGTAGCCAAAGAGCAATGTAACCCAAGAGAGGTAATGATGTAAAGAACGATAGCATGCCATAAATGATCCGGGAGCACAAAACTGGAGAGGGCCAAGTGTTGGGTAGTTCAGGTAGTTTGAACTTCTTGATCCTAGTCTATCAAGAAAGGCGTGATGTCCTCAAATGATATTCCTGCCTTTTGGATACTGAGAAATTTGCGGAACAAACAAAGTTGCCTTGAGCTGGGAGATGAAAATACGCTTAGCTTTTTTGTTTCAGATAACTTTGCCATCAGCTGGTGCTCTTGATTAAGGACACTGTTGTAGTCCTTTCATCCAAAAAGCAGACTCCCAAAACCAAACAATTAAATTTGGAAGGACTCTTTTTTGTTGTTGTTTGTATAGCATATTTGTGCATCACTTCTGGGGTAAATCATTTTTCCCTCCTGTCTCTGAATGCAGTGTGGTAAGCACTACAATGAGGACAGAACTCTGGCAACTTCTGGTTTCTCTTTGTATACATAGATTTTGAAGTAGAGGGAGGAATGAGCAGTGCTCTTATCTCCTTAGTCTGAATAAGTGATACTGAGCAGCTATATTAAGAGGTAGAAAGCTATCCTTAGTATTTGATGTTCAAAATACTGCCTTCTGTATATCAGATTATCTGACAGAGGCTTGTGTGAAAGTGAAGGAAAACAAGGAATGCGAATAATTCTAGCCTTCTTACCAGGGCCATTGGTGTTTTATATGTTATGCTTATTTCTTCAGGATGCAGGACAGGGGAGGCCAAACTTACCAAAGGATTTAATTTGGCTGCACGTTTCATCATTCACACAGTGGGACCCAAATACAAGAGTCGATATCGCACAGCAGCTGAGAGCTCTCTATACAGCTGTTACCGCAATGTCCTGCAGCTTGCAAAGTAAGTGTATGGCAACTTAGCTTTGTACCATCTGTGTTGCAGCTATTCTTCTAGATACCTTGCAGTGCATATGGTGCCATATGGTTGTGAATATTTTCTTACATCTACAGTATTTCAGTGGGACCATAAGAATGCAACAGCATCTTTTCTTTTTCTGTCTGTACTGCAGAATTAAAAAAATGGGCTGAGAGATTTGAAGTACTGGAACTATGTAGCTAGAGCCGTGCAGCGTTCAGTCGCTCTGAAAAAAGCATCAATATAACTGTGTTGGGCTCCATGTTGCAAACAGTTTTTAAATGAGTTTGCTCAAGCAGCTCACATGTGGCTATGCAACCACATTGCTATGCCTTGTAGGCAGATCTGACTGTTTTATCATTTCTTGTTTGTTGTATCTTCATACCACAGCCACCTAAAATCCTTCAGTCAATGCATTTCTAAATCCATAGTTGAAGATGAGTTTGTGTTTAATCTGTGACAGTTTCTACACTATTAATTAAAAGAAAGTTTATTATTGATCTTTCTGGTTTCTCTTCTTCATTATCTTGCATATTTTGTTTTTCTCCCGTGATGGCTGTTTGTAATAGTAACATTCAGAAATAAATACTTGAACAATAGCAGTGTCAGAACATGCAATTGTACTTTGCATCGCCTCAGAGTTGAAAAGATCGATTCTTCCAAGTATGAGAACTGTCTGCAACACTGCAATAGTGACTGTTTGATAATTAAGATTACAACTAAGTAGTTTCTAGTGTATGCAGTTTTCTTCTGCCTCAGAATTGACAAGGAAAGTCAGGCCTGGACCTCTTAAAACAGTGAAAATAAGCAAATGATTCTCTTTACTGAATCCTGAGTGTCTTTTAGTCTGTCTATTTTCAGGAGTAACTTTTGACATGTAAAATTGGCTGCCAGGTCTGAGCTTGATCAAATCCCTCAAATAACTGTTGGAAAAACCTCTGCTATGATTTCCTAGAAATATGGCTCTGTGCTGAAAAAGTCTTGCATTTGTTTGTTGTTTTTGTTTTAGTGTTTTTCATTCCTAGGATCAAGTAAGCTACCTCAGCTGTGTAGGTCCAGACCTCAGGCTGTGTAGGTCCAGACTAAAATAGCAGTAGCTGAGATGAAAGAATAGGAAAATGCTTGCAGTAAAGAACACTTTATTTTCCCCTCCTTCCCCTTGCCATCAGTTCTATACAGGAAGAGAGTATTTTGGAAAGCATTACAGGGAACTTGAGAGAAGAACTTCTTCATTCAAGATATGAAGAAATTGCAGGAACAGTATAGCTGAGATAAAAGGAGAAACTTGAGAAAAAAGAGAAAACAGGTTGGAATCATTAATGATTTCATCCCTCTTTGCTTAATGATGTTATGTATGCATCTTGTCAGCAAAAATCCTTTTGTGCAAACCTACAAAAGGTTTGCTACTGCACAGAGGCAGGAGAAAACTGCTGGTATCATCTGCCATCATAGTTTGGTTTTATCTCAAATTATACCTGTCTTCATTTGTTTTTCTTCTCTGGATTTCAGGGAACAGGCAATGTGTTCTGTAGGATTTTGTGTCATAAACTCTATGAAAAGATGCTACCCCTTGGAGGATGCAACCCACATAGCACTGCGTAAGTTGATGCTAGAAAGTGTCATAAACGGGGAAGGCAGTAATCAGCAGATAGCTGCAGCAGACTGCTGTTTATACAATTTTTTTGGCGGGGGTGGGAGGACTGTAGTGTGTTAAAGCCTATAAAGACGAAAAGCTTTGCATGGATTTGCATGTTGCTTTTGTTTTGCAAGGAAATAGAGAGTAAAAATAAATGGTCCTCCCTGTGTTGAGAGGTCATCAGTAGCCATCCATGGGGAACTTTGTTGGACCTTGCAGTGTTTAATGACTCTGAAAAGGTGATGAGGAGTGAGAATTTGCTGATGGTATAAAATTCTTCAGGATAGTAAAGATGAGGCCTTACTGTGCATACCTGTAGATGTTTTTTAAGCAACAGAGTGAATTTCCTCTGTTATTTTAGTGCCAAATCAACATAGGCAAATGTAAAGTGATGTTTTTCATTTACAAAATGATGAGCGAGTACTTGGAGGAAAAAAAATCTTGAGGTTATGATAGTTCAATGAAAGCATCAGCTCAGTCATGTTTGAAAGATCAAGCTGAATGTTGTGAAAGAGGACAAAATGAAGAATATTATGCTATAAATCCATGGTTTGTCCACATCCTAAAACTGCACAGTCAGAATATAGCGGAGCTATAAAAAGTTCAGAGAAGGTCAAGAAGAGTAGACAAAGATGAGTAGCAGTCAAGTAGGCTAAAGCCCTCTTCAGTCTCCAAAAGAAAGAACTCAAGGGAATTGTGACAGATGTCTGAAAACTCTTAAGTAGAAATAGTGAATAAAAAATTCCTATTCACTGTCTCCCAAAATAAAAGCTAGGGATCCTCAAACTGAAATGAACTGAGATGAGAGTAAACAAGAGGAAGTGGTTCTGCAAACTAGATAGAAGGGTTGGGTTTTCCTCTGGCTGTGTGAGCTTAGGAGAAAAGTTCCTTACCCTCTGCTTAGGTGCTGACACTCTGAGAGAGATTTGTCTGTTTTCTCTGTTGCTTGATGGCTCTGAGCCTGTTGAGCTGGAAACAGTGCTTACCCAAGTTCAGAAAATTGCATTTGTTGTGAAGCTGCAGAACTGCATTTGTCCCATAAATCAGTGTTACAGGTCAGTCCAGTTACACAATAGTATTTATACAGGAAGTATTTGGAAATATTTCATTTTTTTCCCCTAAATGGCTTTTTTTCTTGAAAAACTCACACTAAGGTAGTCTATATCGAGTATTCTTTCTGTGTTATTCTTTCTCTCCTCTGGTGTATCTCTAGTCACATGCTACTTGATAAAATTTTGCTAGACCAGCCTTTTTGTTTGGATACTTTCTCTCTTAGCAGTCTGTCAAGAAAGTACTGGAAAATCCTGAGATCTGACAAGATTATTGCAGTACAAGTGCAACATTATTTCCCTCAGCTGTTAATGTTGAGGAACTTGACCACATCTACCAACTATGCTTTGGACAGTCGGAAAAAAAAAAAAAAAAAGTACCTGGTGCTGACAATTCAGTGCACAGGACTCTATAAAAAAGTGATTTTTTTTTTTTTTCCCCTACAGGGCCCTAGGATCACATTCCTGAAAAGTACCTAGTACTGAGCACTGAGAAGCACCTAGTAAGCTAAAATCCCAGGGGAAATTGGGAAATTTTCCTCTTCTTGATACATCTCTAAAGT